TTGAATGAAGTAAAAAAACGAGTGAAACATTTTTTTCAACAGTGGAATTTGAACAAGCCGATTTTAACTAATATAAGAAAAACGGCATCTATTCTTAAATTAAAATTGAACAGATAAAAACAGGTAAAAAATGCATTCTTTATAAAAAAAATCTGCTTCTCATAAAATGGTTAATCCCGTTTAAGCCCCATACTCACACTTCGCTACTTCACTTCGTTCCTTCCTCGCGTCCCTTCATCCAAAAATCATATATTTACTATCGGAAAATGTCGATTTTATGCGAGTGTGTGTTCCTTCCTCCTTCGTCAAAACGCTACTTCGTCCGTTGACTTCCTCGAAACGCTCCTTCTAACGTACTGTCGGTTTTTGGAGGAAGTAACAAAGGAATTATCACGAACACAAAAAAATACTAAAATATATAAATCGATCTTGGATTTCATTCGTAGATAATTTCTTGATTTGGCAGTACGTCTGTACAGGGTGTCCCATTTTCGTGTGTTTTGCAGGGTTTCTCGTTTATGAGTCCAGATACAAAGATGCGGTTTTCACATTACGCTGTTACTTTTTTATGAAACTAAAGATGCTACATACAGATATGTCCTAGCTCTCTTAGTTCCTAAAATACAGGGTGAATCTGAAATTATTGCATTTTTCGATCCCCTTTTTATCATAACTTATCGTAGAGGTGAAAACGGTCTCCCGTACAGTTTTTCACGTAGAATGCAGTGCCGTAACTATTTCTTCGTTGGAATCTGTCTTTTTTAAATAAATTAAAATTTATATGTTTTTATGCGATATTTTGAATATTATTTTATTTTCCTTGTTACGGGCTTTTTAAACTACTTATTTTCATAAACGGGGTAAAAATGCATTATTTAACTTTATTACATAGTCGGCCGGTTTAAATTAGGTAATCAAAACAATCAACTAATTTATTCGACGTAAAATGTTGGTTATTGGCATGTTATTTAAAAGTAGAACGAGTTCAGTTTCCGTGTAGTTTATCAAAATATCACGATGCAAAGCAAAGTTATCTGGTAAAATTAAGTTAAATAAAATAAGAGCCGTTTAGCAGTTTAGCAGTACCTAAATAAATAAATATAGAGTATATTATAATTTTAGAAAGCTCATAACAAAGCAAATAAAATAAAAAATAATATATAGAGTGTCCTGTTTAAAAAAAAGAACATAAGTTTGAGTCATTTTTCGAAATAGACAGCTACCAACGAAGAACTAGTTTCGTCACTGCATTCTACCTGAAAAATGAGACACGGGCGGTGGGTAAGTACTCAATGGTAAGAACAAAACAAAGTCAGGGTATCCGGTATATACCTGTACATTTAGATGAACAGTCTAATTTTATAAAAGGTATTTTCAACGACCGCATAGTAAATACCCGGTATAATACCAGTATATATCAAGAATACGAGTATATCTACAATATTCCTTATATATATTGGTATATTTCTATTCCCGGTATTATATCTACCGGGTATTTACTATGCGGTCGTCGGAAATTCCTTTTATTAAAATTAGGATGTTCATCTAAATCTACAGGTAGGTATATACATATATACCCAGATTTTATTTATCTACAAATTGGGTACTTACCCACCGCCCATCGCTGATCATTTTCACCTTTTCGATAAGTTATTAGATAATCGAGATACAAAGGTTATCGGAAAATGCAAAAATTTCGACTAATTAAAAAAATAAAAAGTAAAAGGAAGAAATAAGGAATAACTTTGAACTAAGAAGGCTAGGATAAATCTGTGTGTAGCATATTTAGTTTCATAATAAGTAGAACAATGATGTGAAAACGGCATCTTTATGTCTCTACTCATAAACCAGAAACCCCATAAAACACACAAAAATGGGACATCCTGTACATCTAGCAATCGCTAGTCGATATAAAAATAATTCACACACGGTAGTCTAAAAAATGGAAGAAAAAAACAATATTGTCTTCATATTTGTGAAAAAATTCATGTCCATATTTTTGTAATCGTAGCGACAAAATAAAAAAAAAAATAGAAATAGTGTGCATGATGCCTTTACAAAAATATCTGAAGAAATGGGGATTGACATCAACGTTTAATTAGTATGTCATATTTCATAGTTTCGATATAAATTACATAATAAACTTTACTCTATTGTTGACTCGCCTTGTACATTCATACTGATATACCTTGTACATGATACTGAAATATTCGGATTTATGAAAAAAACATATATATTATTAAAATGAAATTTTTATTTTTGACACGACAAAGAATTGCAGTTTTATAAAATAAAAAATTATACGCCTTTCGGATTTTTTAAAAATTTTAGAGGTTACTAGATATTTCGTAATAAACATGTAGCTGCTATATTAAAAAATATTTTGTGGTGTGTTGTTGCATAATCGACTAATTTCCAAGCATCTAATGGACGAAGGAAGGAAGCGAAGGGACAAAGCAACGCGAGGAAGTAACGTGAGGAAGGGACGCGAGGAAGGGACGAAGTGTGAGTATGGGGCTTTTTATACTTTTCCAAATCCCCATACCGTTTTAGAGAAAATTTAATAATAATAATAATAAATTTAGAAAAGTCCAAAAAATCAAAACGCGTTCTATAATAATGTAATTTCGTTTTCATTCTTTGATAGATTGTTATTGATAGAAGTTTAATTAACGTCATATTTTTTGCAATTTTAAAATGTTAAAGAAGGACAAAATTTATTTAGTTCAATGCTACGGAAAGAGTGACAATATTTATAGGAAAATGTGATACTTTAACAACAGCAAAAAATATGACGTTAATCAAAATTAATAATAACCCCCAATAACCATCTATTAAAGAATAAAATCGAAATTATATTACCATAGAAACGCGTTTTGATTTTTAGAACTTTCTTAGGAAGTTCAACTGTTTTCATGTTTTTTTTTAATTTTCTTTAAAATGGTATGGGAATTTGGAAAAGTATAAACGGAATTAACCATTTTAGAACTAGTAAAAATGTTATGAAGAATGTATTTTTCTCAAAATTTCAATAATAAAAAAGTTTTTCCTCTTGTAAGGATAATCCGGGGGATATACTGTACATAAAGCATACCAATTGTTACTTAACCGATTATTAATGTTAATAAGCGTTAACGTATTAACGCTATTTACAGAGAAATAATATAATAACATATAATATAATAATATTATAATAAATAAGATAATAATAATAAAGTTAAACGCACGTGAAAGGAACATCATAAATATACTAGAATACGCAAATACAGACAGCTCAGTTCATAATAAGCCGGACATTCTACGGATAGATAAAAACGAAAAGAAATCCTACACTTAATCGATGAAGTAGCTGCACCACTAGATCACAACGTAGTCAAAACTACAAGGGAAAAAATTTCGAAATATCAAGAGTTGGCGTTCGGTATGAGGCAAACCTATCAACTATAAGCATCCCGAGTAATACCACTCAACATTTCAAGCAATGGTCTGGTTCACATTGATTTTGAGACGAACTTAAAGGAGCTGAAACTACGAAACTACCAAAGATCATAAATCATAAGTCAATGTATTGAAGCAGCTATTTTGGGTAAGTTGAACATAATAATAATAATTTAGATTATTTTTAAAGATGTAACAAAATTTTAAAGAGTACTTGATATGGTTCGTTTATTTCATTTCATTAAAAAATAAAAAAAAACTGTTTAAATATTTGTTATTTGTTTAGGACTAATTAATATGATTCCAGTATTCAAAGTACATTAATTGACCAATAATAACTGCTTCAAATACTAAAAACAGAATTTTGTATGTGTATTAGACAGTGTGGTAAAAAGTAAGACTTTAAAAATTTTATTTCATTTTTTGAGAATGCTTATTTATAACAACAGAGACGTTCATTTTCACAACATATTATTATATTGATTTCTGGTTCATATCCACATTTTTATTTAGAATAATTTATTAACTAACACAATTAACTATTTAATTAATTAATCTTTGGGCGGAAATAATGGTGGTATATTTAATTAATGGTATACTCTTTTATAAAGTTTTAAATAGTTTTCATTTTGTATAGAAATGGGCTAGTATTATTATCGTTTTTAGCACCTGTACATTTTGTACATTTGTTGCTTTAAAAACAGTATAAAATGTCAATATTCCATGATAAATGAGGCCTAAATTATAAGAAAATACATTTTCTACGAAAACTTGAAGGGGTAGGTAAAAAATGGTACGAGGCTGGGCTGAGAAATAATCGGCCTCGGCAAGAGTTGGCGGCGCTAGGAACTAATGAAATTGTTTTTCGTAAAAACTATCTTTCAAGTGACTTCTGTCAAATTTTCAGCGAGCTGCGTCACTTAGTTTGTACCTGACAGTGATTGAAGGCGAACAGATTTTGCATTTTTACAAAAATGAATGAAATCGAATATCGCGCAGTGATTAGATTCTTGTTTTTAAAAAAGAAAACGAACGATGAGATCAAAATCGAACTGGATGATGTGTATGGGGACTCTGCACTTTCGTTATCAACAATAAAATATTGGACTGCCGAATTTAAACGCGGTCGTACGATAATTTTTGATGATGGGCGTACAGGCCGTCCAAGAGAGGTCGCCACACCAGAAGTGGTCGATAAAATCCATGGTATGGTAATTGACGATCGACGGGTAAGAGTGTGCGAGATTGCTAAGGCTGTGGGCATGTCACGTGACCGAGTGGAGAATATATTGCACGAATATTTGGGAATGAGGAAGCTCGCTGCCAGATGGGAGCCGCATTTGCTCAATGCCGACAACAAACGAAACCGTGTGACAACTTCAAAGGAGTGTTTAGCAATGTTTAACCACAATAAGAAGGACTTTTTGCGCCATTTTGTAACCGTGGATGAAACTTGGATCCATCACAATACGCCAGATACGAAGGAACAGTCAAATCAGTGAGTTTCTCAGGGCGAGTCAAAGCCAAAGAAAACCAAGGTGGGTCTTTCTCCCAACAAGGTCATGGCCACAGTTTTTTGGGATGCGCACGGTATTATTCATATCGATTACCTTGAAAAGGGCAAAACGATCACCGGCGAATATTACTCAAAGCTGTTGGACCTATTCGACGCCGATTTGAAGCAAAAACGACTGCATTTAGCGAAGAAGAAAGTGCTCTTCCACCAGGACAACGCACCGGCTCATAAATGTGCAGTCGCAATGGCAAAACTGTATGAATTGCGTTACGAATTGGTTCCTCATCCGCCATACTCCCCAGATTTGGCGCCCAGCGACTATTATCTGTTTCCAGACTTAAAAAAATGGCTCGGTGGTAAGAGATTTGAGTCGAATGGGGAGGTCATTGCTGCGACGGAGGCCTATTTTAAGGACTTCGAAAAATCGTATTATTCGAAGGGCATCGAAAAATTGGAGAATCGTTGGACAAAGTGTATAGAGCTTAACGGGGACTACATTGAGAAATAAATTGAGTTTTGTCGAAAAAATTGTGTTTTCTTACCTAGGCCGATTATTTTTCAGCCCAGCAGTGTATTATACGATACAATTTGATAGATATTTAAATTGTGCATCTCATTCTTTTAAAATATACAGGGTATTCCATTTAAATTAAACAAGTTATTGCCGTTTAAAGCTATAATTTTTTTTTCTTTATTATGTGAACAACCCTGTATAAACAATTTCCTGGAATAAACGTAAAACTAACAATTATTTGTAATCGCAATTTATTCAAAACAACTATTGAATTCTTGAAGACTGCAATAATCGGTCAATATTTTTGCAAACTATATAATAGAAACATAATAGAATTAGACATAATTCCATTTTTCCTATTGAGGCCCCTTTCCGTTAGGGGGTATAATCAGTGCAAATCTAGCGGCAACCCCGTAATTTTCTTAACGATATAACAAGAAAAGAAACAAAACTTTATTGAGCACCCCATAAAAAAAACCACCAATACACCGACTGATTTGCGGTGGGCGTCCGACCCATTTTTATTTCCTTTAACGAGAGGGTTGAAAATGTAACAGTTTTTTTTTATTATTGTTAATGTATAAGAGATCCAGTGGCGTAGACATAACATTTTTTTATATTTGAAATATCAATAAACAAAAAGAATAAATGGCGTCTATACAGTGTTCTCAACTTTCTGAAATAGAATTTCTCACAAAGATAGTCACGTCATCAGTCATTAGTGCGTCGCCACGGCGTCGCGTCGGTAGCATCGGTCATCTGTAGCTTCTATAATAAAAAAGTTAAGAATTTTGTTCCTGGGACAGAAATATACTATCCCTAGAAATATTTTCTTATTTAAAATTCATCATGTATTTTAGGGGACGGGGTACTAGAATAATGTCGTATGCCAAACTAACGATTTCTCTTTACACTTTACGATTTATTGGTGCAATTTAGTTCATTGATATCTGAGAATCTAAACAGCCCTTAGTCCCATCTAAAATAGCGTATCAATGAATAATTAATTTTGCTTCTTTAAATGACTCCAAATGACTTTATAGCAAAACAAACTTTACAAAGTTTTTTCTTCGGTTTTGTATATATATAGGACATGACTCTAGGTCATTGGAAATTAAAAATGATAAATATTCGTCAGGTGCAAATTTGTTGTCATTGCATTAATTTCTTCTAATAAACTGCAAAAATGTTTATATTCATCAACTAAAGAATAATCCATAACAATCCATAAGACATTTTAAATTGTCATCATTGACGTCCATATCCATCCATATTGGTCCATATCCAATAAACAATTAAATTTTTGGCATATATTAAGGAAGTCTTCAAAATGATTCTCTAGAGTACCAGTTGAAATGTCTAAAGTACCATAAAACACTGATATCTTCAAATTATCTTCAGAATTTTGATGTAGGTAATCATTCTGGATTTCATCATGAATTTTTTTTATTCTTTGTCTTTTTTTGGAAAATGATGTTGACGTATTGCATTTATTTGCCAAAATAGTAGCCTGTTTCTAAAAATTTTCAAAATATTTTTCACTTCTTAATGATTTGAGATCTATAGTTACTGCAGTACTCATATGAGCAGCTGTACATAAGTTGATATTAACCTTTTGCAAGTGATTGGACAATATATTAATTTTATTCAGCACTTCATTATAATCGATTATATTTTGGTCGGTGATTCCCCGAATTTATTTCTATTGCGACTGCTTTCCTCTTCTTCTTTGGCGACGCCGCGCCGGTGCAACGTTATGTCTAGCCATTGAATTTTTATTTATAGGCAATGGTCTAGCGGTAGCGTAGTTTCAAGTTTCAAACCCATATGGAAACTTTCGTACGTAGTATATACGCCTACTTCATTAGAGATTTAAATTATTAAATATAAGAAGGTTTGCTTATAAGTTAAGTTAATTAAAAAACAAAAATAAAATGAGAAATATATACGTCATTTTTTATCTTGAAGAGCTCAGGGCACGGAAGGGCACCGTTTGTTTTAGCGTTAAATTTAGTTTTTCTATTTTTTTCAAAGGGCGCCAGGGGCGCCAAGCGCATAGGGGCGGAGGGGGCGTTCGCCCCCCCCTGGCCCCCTATACGACACGCCACTGATGCTGATGCGGCCTGAAAGTTAAATTTCTTCTTCTTTCTTCAATTTTTTATATAAACTTTCCATTATATTGAAAAAAAATAGTAAAAATATTGTAATAATTATATTCCTGCATATTAAGTGAAAAGTTCCGTTCTTAAATTTTTGCTATAGATGTCATTAATCCGTGTTCAAATGTCAATATTATACCTATATCATACATAATGAGATGTAATTAAAAATTATCATTACAACAGATATTTTACAAAATTTACAAATGATTTGATCATAGGTACGTCTATTGATAGCAAAACTACGTACGCCTATGGTTATATTATACAATAGATCAAAAGACTTTGTAGGAATTCATTTACAGCCAGCATATGGTCCATTTTTCCGCTCAGCGCGAAGATTGACACATGTTGCTAACAGTCAAGGGGTTACGGACGAATAGCAGCCGTTGCTAATCTGAAGCGTGACTAAAGGTCCAATGTCAGGGATTCCGTCTATCGTAAAGTTTTCTAATCTATTAACTGGGTGCACAAAAATACAATACTGTCATATACAGGGTAGGACAATAATATTGATCGTTCCATGAGGCATACATACCGGGACAACATGTCATACTGAAAATATTTTTTTATGTATAATGCTCTATACTAGCTTATAGATCTATTGTGTTCCCATTACTTTATTTATAACTAATCATACAATCTCAGGGTTTTGAAAAAATCCAGAATCTAAGATGGTTTTACCGAAGTTAGTTCGATCAATCTCCGATACCAGTCGTACCAAAATTTATGGTACGAATGGTTGTCGTCTCCGCGCACTCAGTGATGAGGTGTTCTGGTGTATCCTCGTTTTCCCCACAAAATCTGCATTCGCCCTTTTCCTTAGCTTCAATCTACTGAGGTGTTCATTGAGATAGTGTCCTGTTAAAAATTCCGTGACAATCCGAAGATTGTTTTTACATAAATCAAGAAAAATCTTTGATTTTTCTCTGCCGTGACTCCTGAGAATCTTCTTCCAGTGTCTTAGACTGTTGGAGGATTCCCATTCCAGGTTACGGATGGAGTCTTCCAGGTTCTTAAGTTTTGCTTTAAGTTGGTTTCCACTTGGGAAGCAGAACAGTTCTGGTCCAGTTAGTAGAGTGTTCGCTTCCTTTCTAACTATAGATCGTTTACTTTTTTCATTGTCTTCTATCCCTTTGTAGGCTGGCACCCAGTGTAGGGGGACTTTATTTTCTTTGCCTAATTTGTTCAGCTTCTCTAGGTGTTCCTTGACCAGCTTCGAATTATTCTTGCATTCTTAGAATTGATGTAAGCTTTATTTATAGTAAGCGGTAGGTAATTAAATATTATCTACCATCCATCTATTTTGCAAAGAATGTGAATTTCAAAAAGATATCTATTTTTCCAATTTTACAAATAGGTAGATATGTGATAGGAATTTCATAAAATGTGATGAAATTTGATTAAAAAAAATAGCATAATTCTTATTCATTTAATTTGAGTCCTCCCTAAAAATAAAGTCAAATTAGTAGATGTTTATATCCCCATAAATCATAAATTAGTATAGATGCTTATATCCAAATTTTAGTTCTTAAAGTATTTACTTCATTTACATGTAAACATTTTTGAGAAAAAATATTAAATTAATATAGAAGTAAGGAGAACAGACATCATAAGAATATAGTCAGGAAAACCGGTAACCGGTGTCAACATTTTTGCAATTGTTGATTGTTAACGTTTTTTTAACTTAAAGGTTAGATTTTTTACAGCCTATTTGTATTCCCAATTTTACAAACAACAAATTCTAATAAGGAATTTCTTAAATGCTATAAAATCTTAAAAACTGTAACATTTAGACGTAAACAGTTTCAAACAATATATTTATTCTGACGGTATAGATCATATTTATAAAAAGAACAAAAATGGAGTTACTATTTAAATAAACTCACTTTTGAAGCATATATTTTTTTTGTGCACACTTGTATCTTCATAAAATATATAATATTATAACTGTTTAAATTAAAAGATCTCAATAATATATTGTATCCATGCCAAAAAATGCCGTTCCTTGTATATCATCTAAATAATACAGTTTATTCTTCCGTCAACTGGACTGGACCAACACATGATTAAAAACAGATGGAGAATATCTTAACCATATAAGATTCGCTGATGAAATAGTCCTAATTGCCAATAGTCCTAAAGAACTACAAGCCCAAATTAACGAACTAAATACAGCCAGCAATAAAATAGGCCTCAAAATGAATTTAGCAAAAACTAAAGTAATGTACAACGAATTAGTGGACAAAAAAGACATTCTAATAATATGGAAGAAACTCAATCATATTCAAATCTAGAATGACATTTTATCTAAAGAAGAAAACATTCGACCAATGTGTACTAAAGTCTGTCCAACGAGAAGATCCTTGACAGTGATAGATGTGTCTGTCATTTTAATTTCAAAGTAGTTTATTTTATTTTACTAAGAAATAAGTTGGTACAACTGGAACGCATAGCAGGAAATATTTAAAATTTGACTGACAAGAGATTGTGAAAAATATTGTGAAAAAAACTGTATAAAACTGAAAAAATGCAATCGAGTTAATTTATTTAATCAAAACGGTATGTGTTAATACAAAACAAACAAGAACAAGACACCATATACCAAAAAAATAGAAAAAAGAACTATTTCTTACTTTCAAGCTGTATGAAACTTCCCGCATTTATGATTATATTTATCAATATAACTTATATGTACAAATACAAATTTGTTATATTCCACAGGAATAAATAAAACAACATAAACAAAACAAACTATTTTATTAATAATAACACTTACCAAATTTTATACCTTAAAGGTTGATTAATTAACTTTAATCCTTCTTTAATCTTAAT